TCTTTTTTACTACATTATTTTAGGAACTTCGTTCCTGTATAAAATAATGTCAATCGAAAAAATTGATAATACTGAAATATATTCAAGTTTGGGAAGCCAATTATTTTTGAATTTATTATGAAATCTACAGAAATCATTTTAAATAAATTAAGTAAAATTAATTTAAAGCAAAATCAAATTGATTTTCTAAATGAAGAAATTGCTTTTTTATCTATCGAAGAAAAATAACAAAATACTTCTATAAAAGAAAAGTTTTTTACTATTCATAAAATTATTTTAAACACAATTTGCGGTATTAATGCAACTTTTTGGGATAGAAAAAATACATTGTATTTATTTGTCGTATATTGATAATTTCGATGAAAAAAATATCAAGACCAAGGCACGACCGTGTCAAGTGAGCCAAAAATATTTAAGAATTTGTAGAAAAGAGATTAATGAAGTTTTCAATAAAAAAATTAATTAGAAACTCTAGCTTTTCTGAGAGTTGTACTGCATTCTACGTTATGAACAATACAGAAAATGAAAGAAGTAAACTACGATCAGGAATTAATTATAAACTTTTAAATGAAATTTTAAAATGAATTCGATTTCTTACCAAATAAAAGAGATTTACTAAATAGATTAATTAAATTAACAATCTTTTCGAAATTTGATTTAAAATCTAGATATTGGCAAATCTAAATTATTGAATTTGATAAATATAAAACAACATTTATAGTTTCGTTTGGTCATCATGAATGAAACATAATACTATTTGAATTAAAAAATGCTTCTTTATAATTTCAGAAAATAATGAATGAAATTTTATTCCATATTCTGATTATATATTAATTTATATTGATGATGTTCTTGTTTTCTCTAAATTAATAGAGAAACATTTTAAACATTTGCAAACATTTCAATGGCTTGCAAAAAATAATTGGCTTGTAATTTCAACACTAAAAATCAAATTATTTTAAATCAAAATTCGATTTTTAGGACACAATATTATCCAAAATACTATTATTCCAATTGATAGCAACATAAAATTCACTTCTAAATTTTCAGATGAAATTCAAGTTCTCTGTCAGTTACAGAGATTTCTGAGTTCACTAAATTATATAGCGGATTATTATAAAGATGTAGCTTTAGTTGCCGTGATTCTTTATAATTGATTAAAGAAGAAGCATATCTTTGGACAGAAAGTCATACTAAAAATATCCAACTAATTAAATAAAAGGTAAAAAACTTACCTTTTTACATATTGCAGATTTATCTCTCTCTAAAATAGTGGAGACTAATGCCTCTAATATTGGCTACGGCGGAACCTTAAAGCAAATCTTAAAGCAAAAAACTTTTAAAAACAAAGAATTGGTTTGTTTTACATCTGAAAAGTGGAATACCTCTTAAAAAAATATTCGACTATCAAGAAAGAAATACTTTCGATAGTCAAATGTATTATAAAATTTCAAAATAATTTATTAAACACAAAATTCTTATTATGAGTTGACTGCAGTTCTATAAAATATATACTGCATAAAGATGTCAAAAGTCTCGTTTCCAAGCAAATATTTGTCGAATGACAAACCTAATTATCTTGTTTTGAATTTGATATTGAATATATTACATGTAATTCTAATTCTTTATCTGATTTTCTCACTCGTGAATTTTTGCACAGAGAAAGACAAGGAGGGTGGATTACCCCTCACCCACGGGTTAAAATGACACCCCAACGGGGTTGGTTCTCTTTTCGAGAGGGCAGATGTAGGGGTCAATCTAATGTGACTCCACACAAATTTATTAATTTACAAAAATATCTGTAGGGAAGCATTATGACATCCACATCTACATCGGGACCTCAAAGTTCCAATTTACAAATTCAATAAGTTTATGAATTTATGGAAAAACTTTTCAAAGAGAATATTCTTAAAATAAATTTAGAAGATTATAGTATTACCGATCCTTAAAAAATCCAAGAACGCTATCTTAGCACAAATGTCCATCCTTAAGATATTCTTGGCCGTGAATCTTATAAAGTAATATTAACTTCATTAAACTGTGTTGAAATTCAATACAATTTTAATGAGCCAAATAAATCTATTGCATATACTAAAACGACAATTAATCGTATACTACATCATAAGGAATGGAGGCTAACTTATTTCCAAACTAAATAAGCTGAATTTGTTCATCCAATATTTCATTAGAAAAAATTAATTTACTTTAATTATTGGACTTATGTTCAAGTCATGCTTAATCATCAATCCAAGAGATTAACATTCTTGGATCTTCATTTTAATGCCAAAAATCCTAATAAGGATATACCAAATTGTTTTCTAGCTTGGTGGGACAAATTTGGTGCAATTAATGAAATCCTTCCTGAAGCAATTGCTAATCTTTACCTAGCCTGGGTTGAATCCTCTTCTCAACTCAACAAAAAAAAAAGATGATTTTCTAGCAAATGACATGTGCGAATTACTCTTATTTTGCCAGGCCCAAATATGTTGGATTTTTGCTTGGAACTCATGTTATCAACAAGACGATATCGATAATAAATGTTTATGAAGAATATTTTTCATTAAAATAGTGGTCAACAATTATTTTCAACAAGGAAAATGTTCAGATTAACAATGTCATTGTTTCCAATATTTCAAATATTCAAGAACCAAAACCCCACGAGTTTTTTTTTAAAAGAGCTTCACGACAATAAAACAAAAATATCCTTGAAAACCTCCTGAACAGATCAAGCATTAGCGACAAGATTTATATCAGAAACAAATGAAAGCATTATTTGAATCAGAAGACGATATGCCAATATCAAATTAAGGATCAGATGACGAAGAAAATTGGGAATGAATTGTGACCCACCTCGGATCAAACTGATAGCATTGCAAGGCCAGATGTATGTTGTGATGCTCTACTGTGATCACGACAGAAGAAAATTATAGGTAGTAATTTCGATGGTTGAAATAATGTCGGTTATTGGAATAGAATTTGTAACAATCTTATAGGACTCCAAGCTTGGGATGGACACTAGAAGAGCACTCCTTATTTCACAAGAGGAGGAAATATTCTAACTTCGCTTGCTTTCCCAGGTGGCATGCCTCTCAATTTATAGCTGAGATGGGAAGCACTACTACAACAAGCATAATTTTTATAGATACTATTACAACAATTTTAATTATTACAAACACTATTACAACAATTATAATTATTATAGATATTATTACATCAACCGAAATTATTACAAACCTGTTGACCTCATTTTAGTGAGGTCTTAGTCTTC